ACATATTATATATATATATATATATATATATATATATATATATATATATATTATAAATTAATTAGTGATATTTAAAAAAAAAAGAAAAACAAAATGTTGGGGGATGCTGCATCTGCATGGATGAATGTGAAACGGGCATCGGCTGCATGTCTCCTCATGTGTTCTATGTTCGGTCCCCTTCTTCCGCATCAATCACAAAAGATGTGTTTTTGTTTTCCACGTGTCGCTCTTCTTCCTCACTAATTGACCACACCCTCGGCCTCTAAGCTAAAATCAAACCCTTAATCATGCCCTCAATCTCCTTGTTTAGTTATTATATATACTTTTTTTTGTAAAGTTCGAACCTTTTTTTTTTATAACATTATTAACTTTTTCTTGATTCGCACGAATAAGAATCGGAAACGTTGGGATTTTGTTTTGATTCGAGGGACAAACTATATATACGATCGGTCCTTCATCCGATCCAATTTGCAAAATCCGGCATTTGGATTCAATTATTAGACGGCGAGAATCGTTTAGAATAAGGTTTGGTCGTTTTGATGTCTCGTCTCGCGTTTGATACCTAGCCTCGGTCTCGCCACTCATTGTTGTTTCGCCTTTTTCCACTTCTCGGGTGTATCCCTTCTCTAGAGGTGAGTATGGGTTGGGTACCCTTATATTTTTGGGGTACAGTACATGACCCGAGCCGAGCCTCACCTTTCTCGGATTTATCGGTCAAACTACCCAATCTCGGTCTTATGCGGGTTGGGTACCCAAAGTTTTTTAGATTGTCTACACATTTATACCCGGTCTCATCTCATTGCGAGGCGGATACCTTACATTCGGGTTTGTTGTCTATTCCGGCTAGTAGTATCCGCCCCTTGTATCTCTATTTTCTCTCTTTCGCCCTCTTTGGCCTTTCGTCTCTATCTCTTCTCGTCTCACCTCGCCTTCGCCTTCTTTGGATATCTTAATCTAGTACGTACCCAATTACGGAACCCTAAAATCCAAATGTAAATTGGGATAAATCTCGAACGTATAAATTCCTCGTTAGAAATAATTGTTTTTTATAAGATGAAGCAGTGGAATCTTTTACTGTTTTTTTTTTAATTAAAAAAATAGGAAATATTGGAAGATTAAATAATAAATCAACTTTTAGTTGCCAGAATGATGATTATGGGTCTGCCCCCCGAAATGGCACACCACATGGCAATACATGTGTGTCGGAATCTAACCAATCTTTTTTTCATGTTGCCCTCTGAGCTGTTCCATTTTGTTATGAATCCGCATCACATAAAAACATTATATTATAAGATTATGACACACCTATGTATACGTTCTATATGTCGATTTCTTGGTTTCTTATTTGTATATATATAATATATGCATATACGACGGTGTAGGAGGAGGAAGAGTGATGGGAAAGAAGAGCATCTTCTTCGGAATGCAATTGCCGTTTCTTTTTTCGTCGAATTCTCATTCACTTGTGAGAATGTTTTGTATGATTTTATGCCAAACTCGTCTTCTCTCCTGTTATTGTGTTTTCAGCATTCTTTGCCAAAGTTCTCGGCTCGTCGTTGTTCCATTTTTAAACTTTGTCATTTGTCCGGGTTTCGCTTTGGACCCGAGATTTTCGGGTTACCTGGCCTCGGCCTTTCCCCACCTCGGATTTCGAGTAGCGGTCGGAGACCGGCTCTTGATTTGATTTTTTGAAAAAAGTGGTAGAAGAAACACAAAGCTAAAACAGAGAAACTCAAATTTTATAACCATAGAAGATCAAATAATTTATTTTTATTTTTGAAGTATTGGCCTCTCTTCCTCTGTGATTCACTAACAAACAAATATAACCCGTAATTCACATCAAAATCGAATCATGAAGCTCAACAATAATCTTGTCTGAAATGGACCGACATTATGAAGAACGACTAGGCCCAATGCATAGTGGCCCATATAATAAATAATACATTGTTTAAATTGTAGCCCACGGCCCAACAACAGTGTCTCGTTATGAATTATAATCCTCTACCTCATCCAGAGGTTTCCCAACATAAAATGCAACTGATAAATATCATTCAATTAAATCTCTATATATTTGTTATAATCGATTGAAATGCAAAGTTTGAATTACCGCTATGATCATAATCCCATCATCAGTTCTAAGTATAATTCTCATAAGACGATATGACAAAGCAATACGCTATATAAAACAAATAAATAAAAGTTGACCAAAACTTTGACCTAATGCAAAACCATGTCGTTTAAGACAAAATCTCGCGGTTTCCAAGTGCTTGTAGTTTCATCTGTTTATTGAACCGTTGGATGAACTCTTCGACTCTTCTGTTCAATTCCTCGTTCGACATCTTCGAGAATTCCTCGGATTCTTCTAGAACATTCTCCCACTTCTGATCCATCATTCTCTCCTCCTCCACGGATTTCTCATGAACAATCATCCATTTCGAGCTATCGGATTCGCTGCGATCGTATCTTCTCTCCCTTGCATCTCTCTTTATCCGTTTTCCCCTTTCCTTTTCCGACTTGCTTCTGCCGTACGGTTTAGGGTTCACACCATGTCTTGCGTCACAAGTTTTTTCTTCCGCATCCGTTCTCCGAACGTTGTAATATATAGTTACGTTCTTGGGCACGTTTTCGCTCACAACTGTAAGTATTTTCTCGTGAACTTCCTCGTGAGACGGGACTTTTTTTACATCTTTGGCATCTGCTTCTTCTGCGTGATTCTCGATTGCTTCGGCCGAAACCATGGCGTAATCATCGATTTTGCTTCTAGGGTTTTCTTGGTACACCTGAACGAAAACGGGAGAGCGTTTAATGTTCGCGTATTCGTCATAAAGGTCGCGTTTTTCTTTATCGGTGAAGGCTCCATAATCAGCGGCGATGATCAGGATGAGGGTATTGGAGATGAAGAACAAGAACTTGGTATCGTTGAAGACAGAGGAAGGAGAGACTTTGAAAACGCAAAAGATCAAAATGTATGTAAAGATCGACAAAATGATCGAGATCAGCGGAATTCCTTTTCTAGGGTACTGTTCTTGGGGCTTGTAGGGTTCGAAGCTAGGGTTTTCGACGAGATAGGAGGGCATTTCGGTCATTTTCTTGGGGTGATTATAGAGACTTTGGGATGGTGTGGTCAATGATCATGAAGGTTTTTTTCGGGTAAGTATTGATCATTAGAAAGGGTGAAGCCTTTATATACGGGTCATGCAGTCGAATCATTGAGCTTTGAATTTCCATTTATGCCCTTCGTTTGTGTGTTATTTAACATTCAAGTCCCTGCCAAGATTTTTTTGTCTTCTTGTTGTGAGCTGCTTGAATTACGTGGAAACTAAGCCATATCATCTCGGCAATATCCAGGTTGGTGCCCGGCAAAAAGCTTATTTCACATGATGTTGATATATATATATATATATATGTATATGTATATTGTATATATCTCTCTCATATATTAATAAATTGAACAATATAGATTGCGGATGATGTGTAGCGATTTTCGCGTTTGCCATTTTCGAAACGTGAAAACTTTAATTTTATACCAATCAATAAATTTTTATATTAAAAAGTTTTAACCTAAAATAATGGATATTATTCCATATTTATTTGATTCTTCCTCAAATTACAACTACACTTGAAAAATCTTTCAACAATATATATCACGTATTTTTTTTTATCAATCGTCATAATAACAGATGTTGGACCTTGTTAATTTAGTATTACTATAACGTAATATTATGCACATTAGGTACGAATGCTATGCATGCATGTACCAATATAAGAAAAGTATTTTTATGTATTAACAAAACAAAGCGGTACACTTTGCTTCCACGTGTATATATAAAATATAAAATTAAGGTGAAAATATATTATGTTTGCATCTAATGAATCGCTCCAAGTTTGCGAATAAAATTAGAACTAGGGGTTGATCGAAATGTTATTAATCACATTCGCCAACGAATTTAAACCATTTTTAGATGCGAAAATAAAGAAGCTCTAATATGGTTTCTAATCCTTAATTATCGGTTCCTTAATCGCATGGGTCTGCAATTACAAATTGGTTTTTTGATCATCATCGAATTTTCTCGCCGGTCAAACAAATATTTTCTTACGTCATTCCATCCAAAATAAATATTTTCTTACGTCATCACTCGATCATCAATCATCAAAACAATAAAATAATTGGAAATATCTTATTATTGTAATAATTATTGCGAAGACTTAGGTGATGACTAGGAATTGTAAGTGAAAATTTACACGAATGTTTTGTGTTAGATTTAATTATTACAGATTTGGCTGTTTCGGCGAATACGTGGCAATTGCCCAATTGATGTAGGTCCAACGTTTGGCGGCTCTTTGTGGGTTTGATCTTACAAGTGTCGGCTCGTGAAATGTCTTTGTAACTTGTGGTAAAATATTATCGCACGTTTATTATTCTTATTAATTTATATGATCTACTCTCGAATATTGACTTATAGAATTTGTAATTTTTTTAATAATCTGGAAGTTGACCGAATTTTTTATCCAATTACATTTTAATAGAGGATCGGAAAAATTCAGATAAATGCAAAATGTCATTTTCTATATTTGAGTTTAAATCCTGATTAAGAATATACTTTGCATATTCTCTTACCATTAGACCAAACTCATTCAAGTTTGGGTTCGTAATAAATATTTTATTAGTAAGTAGAAACTCAATAATTCAAAGAGAATGACTGCAAAAAACTAAATAAATGTTATTTATTTAAGCCGTCTAATATATTTTTTCTTCGAATATATGTATTGTGTTTGAAAATTTATAATATATCTAGTCTCTCATATCAATGAAAATATTTTCCATCACTAAATGTTTGAGTATGCAAATAGGCTCATATCATGTTGTTAACCTTTAAATTTAATATATTTTTAAAAAAATAAACGTTTTTCACCAACCACTACCATTGTGCGAATTTTCAATATCTTGATAGAATATGTACATAATTTTACCCGTGGAGGGGATATATTTTACGTTAAGGTGGCAAATTTTGATTGATTAAGCAATTATTTAATTAATTAATACCCCAAGCCTTTGCGTGATTAATGGCTTATAAACGTCATTAAAAGATTAATTAATATACGATCCTTTGTATTTTTGTCCAGGTGGGCTACACCTAATTAAGTTTCTTGTGGTTATAGTTTATGTTCCACTTTCTTCGGCATGTAAGGACGATATGTTCGATCCTCAAGCAAGTTTATCTGTTGTCGGATACTATATATTCGGTTCTTCGATCTTATCACCATTAAAAGTATATATATATATATATTACATATGCATATATGTATATGTCTATGTCTACGTGCATATGTACAAGTTTATTTTTTTATTTAACATTGTCGGTTAACCGCTATGAACTCGTGGTAAATAATTGATGGGCCATTAATGGGCTCAAGTGTTCTATTATGGGCCTCAATGTATAATTACGGAAACCCAATAAAACAGTATAAATTCTTTGTGCCGTACCAATTGGGGTGATGACTTACCAAAACAATTCAAATCATTATTCAAAACCATTATAGACATATTGATTTAAATGGGTGGCTACTAGATATTCCGTGACATGCAACAATATGGAAAACTTGGGAGATTCTAAATGGATTTTGGGAAAATAATTATTTGTATTGTGATTATGAAGAATTTAAAAATTACTTATACAATTCACATTATGTTAAACCTAGTCAAATTGAATCATAATGGTCTAACCTCCGTATATTCTAATATATTCAACATTGTCAATAGAAATAGAAAAATAAAAATATACCATATAAATACATCAATTTTTAATTTACTAAATATATACCTCAATTTTATCAATTTATACCAATTATAATTATCAGGTTTTAAAATTGCTAAATAAATTATCAATTTTGTACCAAATAGATACCAAATCCACGATGTAATTAATCTATAATTGCATCAATTTGTGTCAAATAGATGCAAGATTGGTATCTATTTGACACAAAACGACCAAATTGTGGTATTTATTTGTCAATTTGAAAAATATGATACATTTAAGCAAATGGTATTTTTAAGAAGAACGAACAATTTCGTTAGTGATTTTAAATTCTGAACCAATTTATTCTGAATGGATTTGTATTTTCCATAGTTAATTCACACATAACAACGCACCAAATTAACAGCAAGAATGAACATCTCAACTTGAAAAACCTAAAAATCGATTAAAAGACGTAAAAAAGATGGTTCTTGGCGTATATTCCAAATTTTCTTGAACATCTAAGCTTGAAAAAACCTAAAAATCGATTAAAAAGTGTAAAAAAGATGCGTTCTTGGCGTATATTCTAAATTACACGGTTGATCCCTAGTCCGAGATTAGTTTGGGTCTTAATTTAGAACACTCGATTACCCAAAAAAAAGATGTTTTATATCATTCTATGTATTATTACAGCAACCTTTTGAATGGTATGGACATGAGGCTTGAATTCGATCTCTTCGATTCTGGAGAAATCTTTGAAGAGATCTTTTCATGAAAGCTGCCGAATTTGAGCCTTGGAGAGTCAGAGAACTAGTCTGACTATTATGATGATGATGATGATGATGATGATGATGATGGCTATGCTGATGGAGATGATGAGATGTGGTTGATAATTTGTTGTTCGGTCTTGACCTCGATGATGATCTCTCTTCCACTCTTCTGTTCGCTAGCGATATAATCGCTTTAGCCTGCATTATATCCATTGGTTTAATTAATCACTTTGCTTAAACTTTAATTTTTTTTTAATATAAATGTATGTATATATGTATGTCTGTATGTATGTGTGTGTACCTGAAGGTCGGTAACATCGGAGACACACATCTTTCCATTGTAGAAAATGGTTATTCTCTGAGATTCTTCCTTTTGCGGACTGTCCTCCGTCCTATAAAATAATATAATATACAATAAATAAGTATTATGTATAAAATATTAATAAATATTCAGTATATGTGTGTGTATTTGCATATCTGGTCACCAAAAACATACAAAAAAATATATTATATACGCGAAAATCCATTTATATGCATAACTGAATATTATATGCCAAATACTGTATCGTGCATTTAAATTCTGATTTTTACAAGAGATAAAAAAAACCCAGCCCTAGTTTTTTTTTTAATGGACAGAGAGAGAGAGAGAGAAGGAGAGAGAGAGACTTACGAGCTGATGCAATCGGATTCAAAAGATGAAGAAAGAAGACGAAGTTCCAAATCGCAGTTACTCTCCATCTTCATCATGTTGGGATCAAAACCCAGATCAAAGAAGAGAAGATGATGCGTGTATGTATAGCTGTAAGTATAGGCTTGTGGTTTGGGGAGATGATGATATATATAGATATGCTTGATCAGGGGTGTGTGTGTATATATATATAAGTAGGTATATGTGTGTGGGTGTGTGGAAAATATCTTATCAGAGAGGAAAATGAAAAAAATGTGAAACACACGGGACAGACACCGGGAACAGGACACGGCTTTTGTAAAGCTGTAAATGAAACGGCGGAGACTTTAATGTTAGGACAAAAAAAAAATTACAACTCCGTATCTAATTTTTCTTTTTGTTTTTTCACGTGTTAAATGCGTTTTTTAAAATTATTATTATACTTTTTTGCATTGAAAGCTTTTTAAAAAAAAAAAAATTGGGACCTCCCCTCAAAGCATGTTGGCGGTGTCACGAGTCTTTCAGTTTGGTTATCTATTTAATTTGTTTTTTCTTTTTGAAAAAAAAAAGAAGATTTAGATACCGTAACATTTTCACTTATTTTGATCTCATTGATTTGTCAATAAACTTGTTTGTATATATATATATATATCTTTTTGTTGTAATTTAATTTTAATGAAAATTGCTCCTAGAAACGAAATACTATTAATGTAAATTTGGCTTTAATAAATTTGTTTTTTCTTACGACGTATATGGGCATGTAGATTTATGTGTGTGTGTGTATATATATATATATTGATGGACCAAAATTTTGATATAACGCACAATGACAACAATATATACAAATCGTATAAACAGAAACATACAATTAGACAAATAATAGGGATGGAACCCACAACGCAATAACAGTTTAAAGAAATGGACAAAAACGTGACGAAATAGAGACAGAGAAAAAGCCAGGTAGGGATAGATACAAAATAATAAAAATAACAAAAGATATATATATATATATATATATATATATATATAATTTATAAAAAAAATACATAGCAATATACACTTGATGAAATAGTTCGCATTTTCTTTTTGTTTCCACACACACACACACACACATATATATATATATATATATATATTTGCACTTAACTTGTTTGGTGAGACGATTGCATGCGAATTTAAAAGTGTGCGGCCCATGATTTTTTTTTTCAAAAAGGAATGTGAAACTATATATGCCAATAGAAGAAATTTACAAATTAATTAAACAAAGCACAATTTAAAAAAAGGGAAAAACCCGGAGTTAATTTGGTCAAATCAAAGCCAAAATAGAGTACAGTAGGCACGACGATAAAAATATGTTTTGTTATAAACAAGAAGAAGATGACAAACAGAAATGCGAACCACGTTCATGATCCACATTTCTAGATGTTTTTGTTGGAGAACCATGAGACTGTAAAAGATCTGTAGTTCATCACATATCTCCTGTCTAGTGCTCAATTTTCCTCTTCTGTGATTGGAATTCCAAGCTTTTGATGGAATGTTTATAGATCATAAAGCGACGAGATTTGTGTGAAGTTTGCAATCACAATTTCTTCAAATGTGTGCATGCAATTGGAAAGAAATGATGCATTGGCCAAATTTGTGCTCTTTCTTAGAATATATAGTTAAATCCGTGATTGTGTGTTTCTTGTTCATGTATTCTGTGTTCTTGGTTTTCGGCATACGCTATATGACTAAGCCATCCACAATGTTTGCTTCATTTTCCTCTGCCATTGATGATATATTTACTGTTGCAGACATGCTAAACAAAAAACACTAATCGAATTGTTAGACAAAATTATAAGATTTATATTTTTTTCGGAATATTATGAATTATTAATCACATTACATGAACAATTTCAATTCTCTAATGATAATAATAATAATAATAATAATAATAATAATTATTATTATTATTATTATTTAGACGTACGCCATGTAGTTTAATATAGACGGTAGTTTAATATATAGTTTATAAATCGTGTTAAACGAGATACTTTATGTCGGTGATTGTTCACATATATGCGTATCTTATATATACATATTTTAAATTGAAAATTTAGATATTAAGTAAGATCAATGGCCAATTTATTTTATTAGGCTTACACGGCGATAGTATGTATTTAAAAATTCACCAAATATGTATTCACTTCTATATAGACATAGCGTGGCATTTAGAATTGATTGAGCCAAATTTTCAATTTTTCACATTCAGTGAAAATTTAATTATGAGACTAATAATTTTGATCTATAAATTCTAATGATTCATCTTTTTTAGCATTAGTAACTAACTATATATAATTATCCACCATTCAATTAATCACCTAACTTTCAACCCAAGACGGTGTTTGGTCACGTGGCTATTTGGTAAAACGGCCAATAATTTTTGGATACCTATATGAATATGGACAGGTACGGAATGGAAGTAATTAATTACCACGTGGGAAATGCAAAAAGATAGTATGAAGTTTCCGGACAAGACAGTTAGATGTGGAAGAAGTTTGTCGAATCCAATTTTGATCACGTGTTTGATTTCCAATCTTCCAAAAGATTCTCTGTCACTCCGGACAACAACATACTAGATTGATCAACGCCTCTTCTCTGTGTGAAGGGTAACATTTTCTTAACGGTTAATTTGATATGTATACATATAGAAAAATATAACATTTTCTTATTAGATTATAACTCTAAATGTACGTTTTCTTATTGGACTATAAATCTACGTGGTACATATTAAGGGGCGGACCCACCTTTAATGGAGTGGGACCACAGGTCCCCTATATCTAATTAAAAAATACTGATTTGTTAAGCAATTTTGTAAAATTATATATAAAAATGTTAAATTACCCCGATAAAAATAAAATTTGTGCCTCTAAAATTAAATATATAAAATTTTTCGCCGTTCATAATATTCTCTGGATCCGCATCTATATATATATATATATATCGATGTGGAAACAGTTAAAAGGAAAAATACTTAAAATGTGTTTTCTTTAAATATTTTTTTTATAAATGGGCCTTTACCTTATTATTAATGGGCTCAGCCGTTTGAGGCCCATTAATTCACATCCAAGTTCCTCGCTCGAAATATCACGGTTTAGTTGGTCCGGGTAGGTAATCCAACTCGGACGAAGGTTTGTGAAGCTGTATGGCTCCCCACCGAACATCATATGCTCCATCCAATGATTTTCAGCCACGTGTCGTAGTCACCTTCGTGACAAGTCAATGAAAACCAAGTAAATGTGTGGACGATTTAGTCGCCCAACAAAAAGGGCGAAGAATTAATCTGAATAAATAATAAATAAATAAATAAATAAATAAAAGGGTTATATGAGAAGACAGAGATTGCCGGTTCTTTCGATTCTTCGATTTCTCCGCTCTTCACTCTCTCGGAATCGCCGTTTTCGTTCATTTGATTGTTCTTCGAATTGTCGGAGAGCTCTGTGTTGTTTTCTCAGAAAATGTCCGCTATACTCCAAAGAGCCGGAGCTGCCACGGCTCTTTCGCCGTTTAATTCCGTCGATTCCGAGAAACTCGCTGCTCCTTCTCGAAGATCTCTTCCAGGTTCGCGTTTTCCCTGTTCTCGGTCTCGTTCGATATTGATTCGGCCTTTGTTTGCCATTGGGTCGCTTGATTTCGCGAATTTAAAGCTTGATGATGTGATGAGAATGCTACTAATGCTAATGTTCATCGCTTGTAGTTTTAAGGGGAAATGCGGGACGTTAGGGTTTGGATTTAGGAAACTTAGGGTGATTTCTTGTTTGATTTGAGGCAGTGAGGAGCAGGGGATACATTGTGGCTAGATCTGATGCGAGTAAGAACTTTGGTCCTGGCCTCAGAGTTCATCGGGCTGAGCAAATGATCGGAAATGCTGTTGCGGTATGCGTTTGTTTCAGTTTCTGTGTGGTTTTTCTTTCTCCATGTGGCTTGAATCAGCATTGGATCTCGACGTGATTCTGGTTTTTGTAGACGAAAATGGATAGTGCTGCTAGCTCCACCTCGTCCAAACCCGGGTACTTTTTCCATTATCATTTGTTCTCATCTTGAGACATGATCCACATTTCTAGATGTTTTTGTTGGAGAACCATGAGACTGTAAAAGATCTGTAGTTCATCACATATCTCCTGTCTAGTGCTCAATTTTCCTCTTCTGTGATTGGAATTCCAAGCTTTTGATGGAATGTTTATAGATCATAAAGCGACGAGATTTGTGTGAAGTTTGCAATCACAATTTCTTCAAATGTGTGCATGCAATTGGAAAGAAATGATGCATTGGCCAAATTTGTGCTCTTTCTTAGAATATATAGTTAAATCCGTGATTGTGTGTTTCTTGTTCATGTATTCTGTGTTCTTGGTTTTCGGCATACGCTATATGACTAAGCCATCCACAATGTTTGCTTCATTTTCCTCTGCCATTGATGATATATTTACTGTTGCAGACATGAACTATTGCTTTTCGAGGCCCTTCAGGAAGGTCTCGAAGAAGAGATGGAGAGAGATGCCTGTGTATGCGTTATGGGCGAAGATGTCGGCCATTATGGAGGCTCATACAAAGTGACCAAAGACCTGGCTAAAAGATTCGGTGATCTCAGGGTTCTCGACACACCTATATCCGAAAACGCCTTCACGGGTATGGGCATAGGAGCTGCCATGACTGGTCTAAGACCCGTGGTCGAGGGTATGAACATGGGATTCCTCCTCCTGGCCTTCAACCAGATCTCCAACAACTGTGGGATGCTTCACTACACATCCGGTGGTCAATTCACCATCCCGATCGTCATCCGTGGACCCGGAGGAGTAGGCCGCCAGCTCGGTGCCGAGCATTCTCAGAGGCTTGAATCCTACTTCCAATCCATCCCGGGAATCCAGATGGTAGCTTGCTCGACCCCTTACAACGCCAAAGGGTTGATGAAAGCCGCGATAAGAAGCGAGAATCCTGTGATTCTCTTCGAACACGTCCTCCTCTACAACCTCAAGGAGAGAATCCCGGACGAAGAATACGTATGTAACCTCGAAGAAGCTGAGATGGTGAGACCGGGAGAAGATGTGACCATTCTTACCTACTCGAGGATGAGGTACCATGTAATGCAGGCTGCTAAGACTCTGGTGAACAAAGGGTTCGATCCCGAGGTCATCGATATCAGGTCATTGAAGCCGTTCGATCTTTACACGATCGGGAAATCGGTCAAGAAGACTCATCGGGTTCTGATCGTCGAGGAGTGTATGAGAACGGGAGGGATCGGGGCGAGTTTAACGGCTGCCATCAACGAGAATTTCCATGACTACTTGGATTCTCCGGTGGTTTGCTTGTCGTCTCAGGACGTCCCCACGCCATACGCAGGTACGCTCGAGGAATGGACAGTTGTTCAGCCCGCTCAAATCGTTACCGCTGTCCAACAGCTTTGCCAGTGATTTTTGCGTTTTGGAGCTCAGAGGTTATCAGGTTTAACTTGAGAGTTAGCAGCTATAGATCTCTCGTTTCTTTGTGTGGGACGTTGTTTGTTAATCTCTTTTGAGAAGTTTTGGTCTAATCACCATGTTTCATCCTTTTCATGTCTTATAAATGTTTGAGTTTATTTGTCTAATTGCTCTCTTAAATCGAATAATTAAGCTTGAATAATAATTACATTATTAAACATCATATACAAGGGATGTGGAGTTGGATTGGTTTTATTTTACTTCAGTTTTATAAAAATTATAATCATTTAGTTTTTATATTGAATTTAATCCAATCTAGTTATAATTTTTTTATTCAAATTGGTTCATCGTGACTTCAGTCTCACTAAATCCACTCTAAGGTGACTTCGGTCTCACTAAATCCACTCTAAGGCTTTGAATGGTTGTAGTTTTGAGAGTTTTTAAAATTTAAAAACAAAAAAAATTACCATAAGTTTTTACAATTCAAGTTTTTACAAAATTGCTTTTCCTAAAAGCTTGGAAAGCTATTTTAATGAAAAAATCAATGAAAAACCAATAATTATTTTTTTTTTTTTAATTTTCAAATATTATAGAATCCAAAATTTAAAAACCAAAAACTAAAAACCAAAATCTAAAAACTAAAACAAAAAACGCATAATAAAAACCATCCCCGTTCAAAGCCTAAATCTAAACCAAAAATCGTTTGAATCGAGAACAAAAATATCACCTTTCTAAACCAACTACAACCACTAACGTACTTCCATTGGATAGTTTAGTTGTAATTTTGATTGGGTGTAACCCGATTTCGTTATCGAAAAAAATGTTATCTTTTTTTAAAAAAATAGCGAATTATTATTTTATTCTATTTAATTTTATAACTTAATGATCAAATTATACACCCTCACACGCGCACGCTTAAATTCCTAAGTGTTCAAATAAAACATACCCATTTTTTTATTGGAACAAATATTTTTTAAAAAAAAAAAATTAATATCCCAACAGCCAAACCAAGAACCTTCTACCATCGGTACTTACCGTTAACCATTTACAAAAAAAAAGGGCAAAACCAACGTATTAATTAACTATACCACTCGGAAGCTCGTCAATTGTCATCGGCGAGGAAAGTAGGGTCGGAATGTCTGGATAACATCCTCGTACGTAGGCCTCTTGTAATCAGCAGCCTGGTCGATCAGTTCGTTAGGGTTTGTCCATTTCCATTCCCCGGCTTCTCCCTTGTTCGCCAGATTGATCTCTCTCTCGTCTTCCTTCTTCAATCTCATCAGAAACCTGTTTCGTATTTCATACCCTACTGAGTACGAAAATCGTATCTTAAGGTTCGAAACAATGACGATCATTTATGCAAGGCACCGGTGGGCATTGCCCACCCGAAAATCGGGTATCCATCTGCTACGCGACCTTTCAAGGCTTTTTATTAGATGAACAAAGGGTACGGTACGGATAATTAAAAGTTGATAACCGATACCCGTGGGTGCCGATATATATAAACAACTGACATGTATAACATTATCAAACTTTAATAGTTACATTTTGATCTTTAGGTACGAGTTAGGGAACTTAAACCGATTTTTTTTATTTTGATGATATTTTTTTGATGATATATGTGTAATTCAAGTATCTGAGATTCTTACAGATATCAAGATATCAAATTATGATACCCGAGGGTTTTGAGTGCGGATTCAGCTACCCGAATTTTTCGATAACCGATCGGTGTCCACTCTTATGCAAAAGTATGACGAAAAAGAGGGATCGAAAGAACAATGACACACCATTTTTGTGCCTGGCCGTGCCATTCACCGCCCCAAAGACGGTTCACTTTAGCTTTCACGGCGGGAGGGAAGTCATAAGTCAACCATTTCGGAACCTGTTTCGATTTCAAAGACATCGAGAAAACAGAAAGGAACGATTTTTTTCAGTATCATGCATTGCATTCACCAAGTGCCGGGAATGGTATCAACCAACGGTCACATACCGCGGCGATGATTTGAGCAGAGACGATACCGGTTTCTTCCTTTAACTCTCTCATAGCTGCTGACTTCGGGTCCTCCCCGTCTTCGATACCTCCCTAAAACACGGTTATAAGAGAAGAAAATACGTAAAGCTTAAACCCGATATTAGCCTAAAACTAACCTAAATACCCTAAATCATAAATCCTAAATCCTAAAACTTTCTTCAACATTTCGTTTAAACACTAATACTAGAGAAGCTGATGTGAAAACGGTAAAAATCTTTAAAAGGAAAGATCGAGATATCGAATCTCTCGATCATACTCTCAATGAAATTAGTGTTAAACGACGTTAATATGCTCGGATTTTCTCCCTAATACCGAAACCGATACATAATTTGGCCAAAAACAGCACAGGCCCATCAGTTTCTCGGAGAACTACAAGACAAGAGATATGGTGAAACGGATAAGTGAAAGGTCGGATCATATCGAACCTGTGGCATCTGCCATGCCCCAGGAACATTCAATCTTGAAGCCACAAACACCTGAGACCAAAATTTTCACAGACAAAACAGATCAAGAAAACTCGGGTTTTCACCGGCAAGAACACCGAGAATCATGGAACTGAGGCGGAAACCAATTGAGTTTACCAAATTATCGGAGTTGATTAAGCAGACACCGACATTAGGACGGTAACCAGCAGGCAGATCCTCCATTGATGAAAGTTACAACCTTTTATTTTTGGTTTAGGGTTTGTCGAGTGAGATACAAATAACAACACAAGACCTGTTTGGCAATCAATAGCATTTCTGTTAGGAAATGAGTTTTCAATTCTTGCAAATAAATCTCAGATTAACTCTTGGAATATTATAGAAAATTCATAGATTAAATGAGAAAATAGAGAAATCGGAAGTGTGTGTAGTAAATCGTTCTACATCTACTTGCGGGTGACCCCAAAAAAAACCCAGAAATGTTTTATTTCTGCGATTATTTTCAACGAGAAATGAGAAAGAAAAAAAAACCCAGAAAGTCGGCTCAATTTCCCTACGTGTTCATCGAATTTTCTATCTATGATCCAGGAAAAAAAATCCCGGAAATTATTCATATTTCTACCTTTATTGACACACAATAAAAGCCAAAGAAAACAACCCAGAAACATCTTCTTCATTGGTTCATCAGAATTTTCTCAGATTCACTTAACAAACCCAGAAAAATCATTCAACATCTGGCTACAGATCGAAGGAAAAAAAAATTTTGTTTGGCTAAAATAAACCCAGAATTGTTTGTATTTCTCCGCTATGAAAAAAAATAAATCCACAGATAGCAATCGCTACATCGGTTCATCAGTTTCCTCGAATCAGAACACAGGAACAAATCTCCGACGATAAAGAACAAAACTTTGTTTCTCTCATGAACAAAATCCAAATACCCAGATCTGGAAATCGAATTCCTCATACAAAAAAAAAACAGACCTTGCTTATCTTTTGACTTCTGAAAAAGGTTAGAGAAAGCTGATCCCACGAATCTGCGACGAAGAGCATGGATGAATGTGTATATATATACACGCAATATACTTAAACGGTGCCGTTTTCGTCCATCATCATTCCTTTTGTTTTGTTTTTGTCAACGGCGTTGCTGAGTTCTGACTTCTGAGAGACTATGGCAAGAATCTAATTCTTGCTGTTTTCCATTGTGCCGGACCCACCACGGCATCGTCTGCCACGTGGCATTATACATTACTCCCTAGCGAGATATATATATATATATATATATAAAATCATGAAAAGGTGTAAAATTGTTTTTATTATATAAATATACATATATTATCTTTTATGTGTTAAAATACATATGTATAATATATGTGTATATATATAGTATCTCCTTGTTAGCAGTGCTATTACCCATGTATTAGATGACATATTTGTGGGGTCAATTCAATTGTACTCATTTCATTATTACGAACACTAATTATTACTGTGTACAAGAAGTTGACTTTCTTTGAAAATAATATTTAACAATAAAAAGGAAATCATTCCCTATTTCATCGTAGGAAAAATATAATGTCGTTGACGTTATATGATAAAGACCAAAAAGAACCATTAGCAAAATATGATTTTGTCAAAAAGATTAAAAAAAAAAAGCGAGAACAAGAATCTTATGAGATGATATGATTTTTTTTTTCATTATAACAGAATGATTTTTACCAAATACAATTAAAGAAAATGATTAAAACTAAACAAGTATAACACAAGGGCGCACGATAGCAAATAAAAAAGGATATGCGTATGATAAAACGGCCGGCACACTCGGAGTGTTGCGGAGCGGCAAGTGTGAGTGGTGGGGAGAAAAGCGGTTGACTTTCCACTCAATTTATAATAATAATAATTATTATTATTATAATAAATCCAAAAAAAAATATTCAACTATGATAGTTACTAATAATCATTTTGTTTTGTATATTCATAACTAACTATTAATTTTTAAACAAAAGTATTTTTTAAATCCCAAACATCTGAAAATCAAGTCAAAATATTAACGGTTAATATATTTTTTTTGTATAAATATTAACGGTTAATATTGATATGGGTTCACTAGAATTTGTAATATCGGATGTCACGTTATCAACCACAAAATTAAAAAAATAAAAATAAGTATAAATAAATAAAAAGTAATAAAGTACTAAAAATTATGTATACATATATTAGTATACAATTAAAAATATTCGGATATGTTTAATTTCTTTTTAGATTTATTAGTATACAGTTAAAACTATTCAGATATGTTCAAGGAAAAACAAAATTGAGAGTAAACGAATAGATGAGTAAATAGGTTGTGGACTAATATTCTGGTTTCATAATAAGTGTTTATCAGAAATAAACAAATTAAATAGGTACACTCGGTAATTACTATATTAAATATATACAAAAACAGATTGAGTATATATATATATAGTAATTACCGAGTGTAAGACAATCACAATTTGATATCTAATTTTTTTTATTAAGTTTAAAAATAAATAACTAACAAAAGCTTGATGTTTATTATCCAATTTATTTGATGTTTTTTCGCACTTGTTAAATTTTCATGAACCCTTGCGAAAATTATTGAAGTTGGAAGAGGTTGTGAATACAAAGCCCAATAGCAAGGCCCAATAATAATATGGGCTAAATATACGGGCTAAATTCGATTTGAATAAAATTTGGGTCTGAAAAAATTCGATTCAAAGCTCTGATATATTTATTATGATGGTACGTTTCCACACGTTTATTTTAAGATTTAGATTATCATCCAATAAAAAAAAATGAAATTTGTATCGTTGACTGGATTTGCATATATTGATATTTTAAAAGATTATATATTTATATAAAAAAGAGAGAGAAAAAATTAGCAACTTGGGGGCATTGGATAAAATGGGACATATATGTCCACTGAAAATGTTTTTGGTAACACGTGTCCCATTCATCACATGATGTGTTCGTGCTTTTGCTCCGGACATGCCCTCAACATGTTTTTTTTCTAAGTCTTTGGTCGTTCTCATTATCTAATCCCAAGTTGTTGGCTGGCCCCCACTTTATAATAAAACAACGCCATAAAATAAAAACATATTTTATTTTATTTAAATTAAGTAACGAGATATATCATCTCCATATTTAAATTATGCCTTGTGGATTCTTCAATACCCTTAAAAATATATTTTTTATAACTGTAAACTTTATATAAATATTTCAAAATTACAAGCCGAGTGAGTACCCTAAAAACATTGCAACATGATATCTCTTATAAACGATTTATATAACAATTCTATAAACATGTTAGGATTCCTATTCTAATAAAGAATCCTGACATAGTTACATACATTTGGAATATATAAGACCTAATAACATACTAAAATACAAGGAAAATATTTTTTAGGGTTCGTTACACACACACACACACATAAATATATATATATATATATATATATATAGTATTTGTATTATTGGCAATTTTGTTATATCATTTATAAGATTTACAAACGGATGAAAAAAAATCCGAGAAAAAACATATAGCAACTACGTTAAAAAAATTATGTTACTTTTTTTTTTTGGTAAAGTATTATTTTTGTTACTTTATTGCTTCGATGCGAATTTTGCTTATATACCTACAAAGTTTAACAGAAATATAAACGCCGTTATGTACACTTAATACGAAATTTTATGAGCTTCGCACATTAATACACCGAGTAAAAGGAATTACTTTTGTTAATGAGGAAATTTTTGGTAACGGGGTAACAAATTAAACGCGAGACCGCTGAGACGTAACAGGTTTTGGGGGAATGTAATGACTCAACGACTAACAAAACCCATCCGCCGCATATGTAACCAATTTCCTTTATATCTTTTATGTATTTTTAATGTGTATACTTGTTAGTATGTGTGCGTATGTACGTATAGAAAAGGATTTTGTATGACCTTAAAATCTACGCGTACAACAGAGAGCATTCATGAAATCAGATGTATAACTAATAACGTAAATAAATGTTTTGCCGTCATGTCTCTTCTTCGCCGCAGAAGACAGAGCAGTATACCCCGATCATTTCGCAAGGGCCAAACCGCAAAAATCTTCCGTGTCTGTGTATATGTGTGTGTATACAAATTAACTTGTGCGTTTACATATGTAATATATGTACGAATTATAGCGAGATGGAGTTTTGGCATTGGCTAGACTTTTTATTATGTAGCAATTCTTCGACCAGAAAACGATATAAGAAATCCATTTGCATTGTGCTTTTTATCAGTGCTAAATGAATCCACAAACATATATATGACTAATGATTGTATTCGTCATCCGATTTTTTTTTCTGATGTGACGAGTTTTTAAATTTTAATTTTTTGTAGATAATTTTACTTTTAGGTTTTTAATAAAATGATATATATATATATATATATATATAATATTGTTTCATTTTTTGTTAACTTCTAGTTCCAAATTCCTTTATACCTATAATTTTTGGCAGATTTAAATTCTGCCGAAATTGATATTTTGTTTCAATTTTTTTATTCTCTTTATACATTTTTTCATAAACAATTCCACCGCGTATTAGTAGTTGATATTAGATTTATATCAACTAATACGCATTCCAAGTTCCTAGATTGCTGGAACCATCGGTATATCTGTCACCTAAGCACGTGGGCATCTTAATATCGTGACACGTGTCCGATCAATTAACATAACGTTTCTGTCTCCGTTTCCTTTGGATACAAACGTACAAGGATCTCTATAATCGAAGAACAAAGAAATGTAGCCGCAGATGAGCTCGAAGAGCCAAGCATTTACGTCATATAGTATATCATATATGTGTATGTATGTAAACATGTATGCATATACAGTTTGTCTGTATGCCTGCCCCGTCCAGGTATACAGTCTAGAAAATTCCAGCCAATGATCGACGGACAGGAGGTAGAAGAAGCAGATGAAACGTGTCTTGCCACGTGTCGGATGGTCGAGGAACTATGAGGAGTTACAGATTCACGTAGTTACAACTTCCGTGTAGCCCTGCATGAGACATGCACGTGTATTATTGGATCGAACCATGCATATATATTTGTCATATTTTACAGTTTGCTCATTTTATATTAGTATTCATATAACTACCGTTAAGTGCCTAAAAACAACATATTAATTTATTCCACATAAAACTTAAATTTTCACCATTATATTATATATGTGTATGGTTCCGCGAGTAAATATGGATTTCAATGCCGAGTGAAAAAAGGTCCGTTAAATGAATGAGAGGGAAAGAAATTGAATATATATTTCAAACGCGGCTCTTGTGGAAACAAATTTAACAATGATGCACGAAGACGTTAAAGATGTCGACTATATATACCCCTCTTTAGAATTTTAATTTTCTATATTTAGATTAATTTTGAAATGTGTTTTATTAAAGCCCATTTGCTGGAATTTATAGAGATAACCCTATGATATTTATTTATTTTTAATCTTCTTAGTGGGCATGAAAAGTACGGCTTGGTTGCTATGATATTTTAAAGATTTGGAAAATAAATGTTTTACTATTACTATACGTTTAATTTCCTTTGCCTCACTATACATAAAGATTTGGAAAATAATTGTTTGTATACAATAGATTTTAGTCATTAAGTTCTATGTTTTAAAATTTTATATAAATGATTCAAGACCTCAAAAAAGGGAAATTTATGGGAATAAATATATAGATATCAATATACTATCCTAATTAGCCTCCACAAACTTGGTGGGGGGAAGTAAATAATTTTATTCTAATTAATCTTTATCATTAGTATATTCTTTATGCTTTTTATTATATCACGCACTTTATCCAACACAATATATTTCATTCAATAACATATGATATTTTTGGGACAATTAATGTAAAACTATTATATTAAATAAGGGGATGTGGGCGTTCGTGACGAATTCACGAATTTACGGAAATACGAAGCAACAGACACATAAACACACCCTCCCTCACTGATTATTTTTTAAATATAAAATATTGTTTTTTATCGTTGTTGTTGGTATTTATTAATATCAGAGTATTATTTTATATGCGGGAATTTGGGAAGTCGAAGCAGACGCAAGGCAACAAATTGTGGTCTTTCTTGGTCTTCGGACAACCGTTTTCATTGCGTCATAATCATATAAATAGTTATCATTTTAGATTTTTTAATTAATTTTTTAAAATAATTTCCAATTTTATCCTTATTTAAAACAACTCAATTCTAAATTTTAATGAATATTAATTTTATTTTAACTATTAAATATATATATATATATATATATATATGATTTATTAATTTTTTTAAAAAAAGATTAAAACGTCAATTATTAAGAAATGGAGAGAGTATTATATTTTGAAAAACATAACTTTTATACAAGTATTAACCGTAAAATAATAAGCACCCCGAATTATTATTTTTGTGATAGTGATATATCTACATCCTCTGTTCTCAAAGTAATTATGTACAAATCTTAGTATTTCAAAAAGAAGAAAGGCAAGTGATTTGTTTTAAAATTATTCTAGATTCAGCTTATATATATATATATATATATATGTCTGTATTATTAATGTATATGATGATCTAGGGTGGCGTGAGAGAGCTATGGGCATTTATTAATTAGATGAAGTAATGGATTGAGAGGTTATTGTCTTGTTCGGGAGTAATATATATTCCCTCCGTTTCAAAATATTTGTAGTTTTAGATTATTATCCATGTTTCAAAATATTTGTCATTTTACATTTCCAATACATTTTTTTTAAATAATTTCCAATTTTATCCTTACCAAATTCCAATACATTATTAATGATAATATTGTTTTTATTATTAAATAAAGGGTATATATGACTTTTATTTTTATTTTTTAAAAAATGTGAAATAAGTTAAAACAACAAACATTTTGAAACGGAGGGAGTACAATTGTTTCGCGTGGATTTCACGTGACCAACGAGAGGTTGAACCAATCGAAATCGAATTTGAGTTTCTTTTTCTAATCATTTGTTCGTCCTATTTGAGATTCCGTTCTTCTCGGAGTCGGGAGCTTCTGTTCTTTTCAAGTTATAATTGTCAAGGGGAAAAAAGGAATAAAAAAAAGCATGAAATATCGGAGTCTTTATTATGATTTTTTTTATATAAATATATGCGTCTCTCTCCCCCATATATTTACGCCCCCGATTGTAGCATTCCGAATTTTACTAGGATAAAATTTCAAACAAAATATAACTATATACCTAAATCATACGAGTTATTTTTAAGAACTCATATCAATCGTAGGTAAACAAATATATGGTACCATGTAAGACAAACGATAATCGACAAGGCAGTGCTATATCTTTGTACATATTGAATGTTTGTAACATTCCAGAAAATCCTTTGAGTTTGTACATAATTTTGTAGAAACATAAAAAAAAATCCTTTTAGATTAATAAAAAAAAAATCATATATACAATCATCATATATCTATTGAAATTATATATTTTTAATTAAGGGTAAATTGAAAAAACCATCTAAAAAATCTAAAACGATATCTATTTAATAATATATATTTTTTTTAAAAACGATATGTATTTAGAAATGTCGATAGCAGTACTATTCAACTCCATCTCCATACGACGTTTTCTTCTCGGAAAAGAGGAAAGTTCAAAAGCATTGGATTCAGTTATATTTTTTTAGAATTTTGCTAAAATTATAGTTCCCGTGAATTTGGACGGTCCATTTAAATTTGCTTGCCCAAGACGGTTTAACAAGCAAACTGCGACTAAACCTTGAAGAACCATAACCTCGATTCAAATCAAATAACTTCTGTTGGGATAATGACATGTCAGGAGTATATCTCCCTTTGATCCGACAGTTTGACCATTTGGTCAAACATTTGGCCACATGGTCAAATATGCACACTTTATTATTATTATTGTTGTTGTTGTTGTTGTTAAACATTAATTAGCAAGTAACAACATGCCAAAGGTTTTGATTAGGGTCTAAGCAAAAAAAGAATTATCTGTCTTGTTTATAGCTAGATTACCCAAAAAGATGTAGATTTATTTTAAAATTGTTTGAAATAGGATTTTTCCAAATCTATTATTCATGTCATGTATTGAAATATAATTTACAAAATAAAATTTAGTTATAAACAAAAAAAAAATTATTGGAAACTAATTAAATTTTATAAGTTATAAAGAAAACAAAAATAATTTTTTAAAAATGTTGATGGGTCAAGTGCCTATGGATGTCGGCAGGTAACTCGATATTAGTTAATTCTCGTTCATTTTAACTATGGAGTAGATAACATGCATTATTTGTGGCTTTGTATTTGGTTGAAAGAAATCAAATTATACATTTACGGAATATGTATGTCAATATCTAAAATAGGTGTATAATATATAGATGTGAATTTGCATATTGACGGATGTGATGATGATAAGTACATTTAAACTTCATCTAGATCACTATATTAGTCTAAATAAAACAGTAGATAATATATTAACTGTCGAAAATAACCGTGCGTTAACTAACGCCGACTAAACAGTGCTATTGTTTGTATGTTTTATTTATTGAAAACGTGTTTTACATGCGCTTGTGATGAAAAGATTAAAAGCTAACCAATTTGGACGTCACATCGTTGAAATTTAGCACTCGTTATGCAGACAGAAATTGAGAACATGTGTTACTCTCTCACCAATAATTCCCGAAATATTCAAATGTAAATTTCACTTTACAAATTGCAAGTGTTCTAATTATGATAACATATAGCCACCACTTAGTTTACAACAAAATCGTATTAAATATATAAACACTGTACTAGACCCAAAAAATGTGTTAACATGACACACATGCATATACATATATATATATATATATATATATATATATATATGATTGTTGTCTCATATAATATAAACACACATAAATATATAAAGATGTATGTGTATATATATAACATCTGAATATACGAATGTTATGGTGCCTTCCCCCACTCAACTTTTTTATTCCGCGAGACCACAGCCAATTACAATTTTTTAATAATTCCAATTTTATTTTCTCTCGTATTTTTTAAATTATTTTAGTAGCGAGGTTAATAGTTATGGTCAATACTTAATATCGGTTTCCAGTAATTGTAATATTTTTATTCCATGAACGAAAATAAGTAGAAATGTTAAATATAGAAAACTGTATTAAATTTGAGACGTTCCATCCTTCGAATGTTAAATGTAAGTAGAAATGTTCTTTCCATGCCTCTTAATGGATCTGGTGGGTCGGTCGGTCGGTCGAGGAAACTTTGAGACGTTCGTTATATAATAATTACAATATCCATGTTATGATTTATCTAATTATATTACTCTGATTGTTTTGAATAAATAAAAAATATTACATACGAAACAAAAAACATAAATTTAAAAAACAACAGAAACCAGCTGAGCTTGCCATTATATTTACATCAGCTTCACGCTGGCTCGACTAAAAAAAAGGTGCGTAAGAAATTACAAAATTCTACATTTTTCATATATTGATCAAAATTGCAAAATAAAAAAAAAACTAAATATTCGGCAGTCTTTTATTTATAAAAAACAAAAATTAGTTAACGGACTAAGCTTGATTTACCATGTCAGCCGAATTCACAAACGTGCCGTGAAAACCGTACGGTACTCTTGACGGCAACTTAACGGTGGCTTCGAGCTCCAAGTTAACGGCGTTAACTATCTGAAGCTCCGACTTCCACGTCTTCTCGTCGTGAACAAACGTCAAAATGTAACCGTCGTCTTCTCCGTCGGAATCTAACCCTCTCCGTACGAAAAACGGTTCGCCGCCGTATTTCATACCGCCGTAAAAGTAATTTTTCGATTCTCCGGTGAAAAGATCCACCTTAGCGAAGCCGGAGACTTTGGGCCACGGTTCGGCGATCGCAAGGTATGCAAACCGGGTTTTTCTACCTAACCGGTTCCGGTTTACCATACCGGCCTCAAGATTCATCTGATCTGAATCGGGAATCACAGGTCGGCGAGTGGATTTCCCGGTTCTGAGATTTAACCGGATTTCCGACAAAACACTGTTAAGCTTCTCGTCGGATTCGTTGAAGATGGAGTCCGCCGGAGTCATGCATGATCCGATCACGACAACCTCGTCGGTATCCGGCGACTCCCAAGCGTTCCAGAGATGGAAACAGAAAGTTTCCGGCGACTCGACCCAGATGATTCCCGACGCGTCTTCGGCGTTTTTTGGCAAAATCCCAAAGCGGGAAATCTTCTCTTTGTCGTAACTCACCGGAGATTTTCCGAGAACCATGTCGCCGAGCTTGAAAACAACTTGATGGTCGGGAATCACGACAAAATTCTCTGTAATAGCGAAATCATGCATCATTGTCGGAGTCGTCAGCGGGATTTCAACGTCCGGCGATTTCCCGCCGTCCGGCGAGAATCTGAAGTACTTCAGATACGGCTTCTTGACAACATCGTAACTGAGAGCAAAGAGCTCTTTGGTTTCTGGGTCGATCTTCGGGTGGGCGATCATGGCGGATTTTAACTGCCCGTCGAAGTCGTATCTCCCAACCGTCTCGAGATCGCCGTTGTCGGTGACACGAACTTGGTAAGGAAGATCATCTTCGGACATGGCTAATAACCGATCGTGGAAGTAAATCAGACCGGCGTTAGCGACTCCGGTCCCGTTCCGGTGGTTTACGAGACCGAATAACCCACGTGCGTAAAACAGCATCAGCCTCGCGATCCCAGAGTGTCCGTGAAGCTCTCCAATCGCTTTCGGGAAAATCGGACAACCCAATTCCTTCTCCTGAACCAATCTCTCGGTTTGCGTGAACCGGCAAGAGTAACTGGCTTCGCCGCCGGAGATTTTCACGGCGTGAATCATGCCGTCACCGTCGAAGAGGTGGTGGCCGGAGACGGGCTCGAACAAGGGGTTGGCGCCGTTACGGAGGTAGACACCGTCAATGCCGTCGGGGATGTCACCGGATACCGGGAGGGATTGACGGAGGGGTCGCTCCGGCACCGGAGCATAGTTTCCGGCAATCTGGTGACATGGGTCAACGGTCTTCGGGAGAGGCTGAGACCTCTCGAGTGAAAGCAACGCGCTTTCGGCGAGGTCGAGGGCAGCTGCGGCGGCGCGTTGGAGGAGGTTCCAGTGAGGAGGGTACGAGGAAGAAGACGAGGGGTTTTCGGTAGTTACAGGTATCGGTTTGGGGTCTTTTGGGAAATTTATAAATGTTGGGGAGTTCAAGACACACGGTGTCTGTGTTGGTTTGCGGCGTGGGGATTTTGTGTATGCGAATGAGACGGCGGAGGACGGCGGAAGAACGGTGGATGATGGCGGAAGGACGGTGGATGACGGCGGAGAGACGGCGAGGCCGAATTGAGCTCCGGTGGGTGCCATTAGATACGAAGAAGCCATTAGAGAGAGTTTTGAGGAGAAAGAGAGAGTGAGGGAGTATAAATAGAGTTTGGGGTGAGTGAGTGCTGATGCCATGCCATGCGTTACACTGTAAAAAAAAATATATTTTTTTTGCTACAAATGTATAATAATATTTCATTAGAATTATTATCTACGTAGATTTCGTCCATCTATTTTTTTTTTTCAAACATAAAATCTCTAGAGCGGAAGATATTTGACACAATTATACGTGACAAAAAAAAATTGCACTATAAAATAAGTTAGTTTTTGGTTATGGGCTTTATTTCTTCCATGAGATTAAAAATTCAAACAATATATTATGTCTCCTATAGTTTATTTTAGGGTTAAATTATCTATGTTAGGAAACTGATGCTATATCCGACATTTCGTTAATTTAAGATTACGATACTAATGAAAATTATTTTTTTTTTGGTAAAGAAATATACGAAATGTGAATGCGAAAATGTTGTAGGGGGCATGTGTGGGCCGTTGCAAGAAAGCAACATGTCGGTCCATTTCGCTTCGTTATATATGATGACTAGTTACCGTCTTTGGGTCTTTATTTTGTCTTTTTTTTTTCTTCAAAACCCAAAAGTCACCAAAGCAAATTCCTATGAACTTCTTGGAACCTTCAATTTTTCCACGAAAAAAAAATCAGAATTTTACATTGAGATTTTCTATTTTCTTTCTTACACATCCACAAAAAACAACAAAAGCTAAAAAAGAAATAAGGATAACAATATATCACAATCATCATAATGCACTAATAACATGATGAAAGATGTGAAAACAATTAGCTCGAATTTATTTATTTTATATGAATTGATTAATAATTAAGATTAATCTCAATGTTTATATTTTCATTAAAATCGTTGCAAAAAAAATGAGATGAAAAGGTAAGTAGACATGTAGGCTTTTGGCATTAGGTATAGTAGGATACTTATTTTGTATACATCCCATACGTAAACACATGCACATATACATTTAATAATATCGCCTTAATCTCAAATTTATTTCGGATACAGGTACACGATATAAACAAAAAATATTACCCTAATTTTTTTTTTCAAATCTCAACATATGCGGAAAAAAGTGCCTTAAATTCAAGAAAATGGTGGGGCTAAAATTCCTTGTTTATTTGATCGACAATGTAAGCATTCATGTCGAAGACATGGTTTGCTACATTCATTATCCGACAGCAGAGCTATACACACACACACACACACGCATATATACATGTATATATATGCACATATATGTGTATGTATACGCAGAAATCTGGTGGTGCGTGCAAGTTGATGTTGGAGCAAGAAGCACGAAGTGATTGATACACATAAAGGCTGTCGATGGAAATAAATGAAGTGTGGATACATAAAGGGACAAGACAAACTGTTTGGTTCGGAAGAGGTAAACTTCGCTTCCGTGTCTCTGATTTGCATGAAACCCTAACTTCACCACATCCAACTCCATAATCTTTGCTCAAATTTGGAAATTAGGAATATATTAATTTGTACGTATACCTTACACCCACTTGCTGCTACATTCACGACCCCTCCCCTTCTTATCTAGCCAACTTTGATTTTTTTCCCTCTTTTTAAAATTTTTTTTTAATCCCTAACACGCGAAAATATACATATCATGTGTGTATATATATATATTTCGGAATCGAAATGATAATGTAAAAATTCCAACATCATAGAATTAGTTGGACAGCCGGTTTTACGAGCTTTACAATTTGATATAGAACACAACTAAGAGGAAATCCAGATAAAGATCTAAATCAAGTGGAGTAAGAATGAAATTGAAACTACTATACGGATATGACTCCATAACAAGACATCAACGACTATTTGAAGTCTTATTCCAAACAAAATATCTCAAATAAGAATAAAAGTATTTCGTTTTTTATAAAATTTTCCATCCATATTGAATCATTCATGCATATATATATATATATATATATATATATATATATATATATATATAT